GTTATATATATATATGCACATTCCTATATTTTAGTATAAATATATATCATTCTATTCGAGCTTGAGTCCTCATATTTTTATTTATAATATAAATTATAATAATTTTTACATTTTAACATTATTTAAGGTTCACCAAAAAACATTAAAAACCTTTAAATATTCATACGACACTTTATATACTTATATTATTAGGGTACATATAATTGTAACTCTTAAACATTTTTAACAAAAACAATAAATCTACCGCAGTTATAATAAATATTAATACTGTTACATACGTGATTGGAATAAAATGAGATACCACATTTTTAATAATTGGATAGGTATTTATTAAATTATCAAGGAAGCACTCAATTATTGGAGTTCTACTTGTTAAGGTATCTACAACACCATGATGGAAAAATATTTTAGTTGATTCATAAAGTATACGATTTTTGTTTTTTCTCTTCAAGATGACATATTAGATTGTTGGATGGTTTTTCTATAATTTTATTTTGATAAAATTAATGATTTTTTTAGTTATAGAAATAAAAACATTAGATAAATAGATTCACATTAATAATGGTAATACGTATATTCATCCATAATGCGAAAAAGTAAAAATTTTACAAAAACAACAAAAAAAAATGATAAATTTATTAATATGTGCCATATATGCAAAATTATTCATGACACTTTATAGGAATATTATATATGGATACATATAAGTATTTTAAGCCAATAAATGTCGACTAGTTTTGCAATGTAATATTAGCTTAAAATGTGGAAATATTAACGTTCCATTTTGCTATCCAATAATTGTGAATGACTACATTATATGTTTCTTAATTATTAACCTCTTGGTAATTGCTCTACTAAAAATTATTTCCTTCGCATTAAAATATTAATCAACAGAGTTATTATTTTGCACCATTTCTTTTAATTTTACCATTACTTTTCTGTTAGCTAAAAGAATCAGTGTGTGTTCTATTTGTTAAGATCCATAATGTATTTAATTTTTTGTTATCTCAACTTGCCAACTTAAATCCGATTATTTTTTACTTTTTTATTATCATACTAGAAAAAAATATCCAAGTAGACTGAGCTATTGTTGATAACCTTGTAATATATATATGAGTTTTATTTATTTAACAATAATATAATTTAAATTACACATTTTATAAACTTTAACTTATGCAATATATTATATTTCATTTTACTTTAAGTTTATTCAAGGATAAGAAGTATGCTTTGTAAATTTTTAAATGCGTATTGTACCTACTTTCGGAAGTTCGTTACATACAGTATATAACAACTATGTTAGGTAAAACTTATATATTAGTTGAATTTCAGTAGTTATTTTATTCAAATTGGCTAATGATATATATATGGAACATGTATATATTATATACATAATTTCCTTTTTTAAAATTTAATGGGATCCATGCTAAGTTTCATGAAATTTAACCTTTTATTTAATAACTCATAGAAATTATGGAAATTTATGAATATTATTTATTTAAGAAGAACAATATTTATTATTTATGTTTTCATGTATTTTCCTTATAGTAAGTATTTTATTTGTCATATGTATTTTTCCTTAAATATAATGTGCTTGCTTAGTAGTAATCTTTATATATAATTCAAATAGAAATAATGATTAAAATTTAAATAGTTAAATTATTTTTAATCAATTTTAAATGAAAATAACTAAGTAATTTATTATATTCAATGATTAAATAATTACTATTGTCATACTATTACATAATAAATATTTATATATACTAGTATATAAAAAAAATATAGCTTATTGGAGATATAACAGAAAAGATAGAAAAATATAAATCAGATAAATCTATTTTTTATGTTAAATTTGAATCTGAATAAAAGCATAATTTTGTTGCATTTAACAGAAATGAACTATTCCAATTGAATAAACATATACAACATATATATGTTCTTAATAATTATTTATTCGTTACAATAATATTAAAATGTATAAAGAAATGAGTATATAAAGAACTTTATAATATTAGGCAATTGTTTCATATTATGTATCAAAGCATGATACATGCAAGACTTAAAGGGTAAATAATTTTATGTATCACAATAGAGTCATTATAATAAAATATCTACAAAATATAGAACCATAATAGATGAATCTTGAAAAATATTTGTGAAATAAAATGTGAAAACAAACAATACATGTAAGTAGTAAATATGATGCAATAATTTCATACATACATATATATATAAAATAATATAAATTATACATAAATTAGAGTTTATAATACATCAGAACTATTGTTATTATTGTATATATAATAAAATTAACATATATTTATGTATTTGTTACAGGGATAATTTATGAATTATTAATATTTAATGAAATTCCAGAAAAAACAAAAATCTCTTATAGAGCACAAAATATAATTAAGGATCTTGTGAATTAATATAAATCAAATTGATATCCTTCCTTCTTTTTAAATATTACCATAAGAAGAACATATCAAAAATTTATGTGTGAATATAAAGAGTTCTCTCAAACAAACAAATAAAAAAAAAATTTAATGCCGTGGCCTCAGATATAAATTCAAAAATAGTATGGTAACTCTTTGAAATATTATTTCATTAAATTGAAGTATTATTATTTTTTATTATTTTATATTGTTTATGAATTATTTTTTTTTTTACATAATTTATTTGATGTAAAAATTCTGAAAATATTTTGATTACATTATTCCGCATGTGTTTAAAGAAATAATTTTAATGAAATATATATTTAATCGTCAATATAATGGGAACTATATATGACATTATAATTACTATTCCTACATATATTGTTATATATTTCTGAGTTTTCTGATTTACTCCATTCTTTCTTGAGACCACGACACTTATTTATTATCTCTTTTATTTCACGATGTAAGCATGTATTATATGGCAGGAACTAATTTGTAATAAAAAATATTTTGTATTAAAAATATATTATTATTATAATTTGTTTTTTTTTATTTTTTAAAAGATTTATTATATAATTATATATATCAACATCGTATTTAACCTTATAAATTATAAATAAAAAAGCAGGTATTATTAATATTAGAAAAGATGATATTATAGCAGTTTTTGATTTATTAATTTGGGCAGAAGGTAATATTATATTCTCAAAATTATCAGAAGGCCATGTTTTGAATTTTAGATTATCACAATCATTTGATAAATTTAATGCATTGTATTCATTTTTATAACTTTTTAATATTTTACAAAAATGTTTATCCCAATTATTCTCACATATCTTATGTCCGCGGACGTATATATCAGCACATTCGTCTGCACAATCGCACTTTGTTTTTTTATTACAAGATGTAAAAGTAGAGTATTTTATATCATTAAGTTTCTTGCTTATATCACATATATCTATGATTAGTTCCAATTCATTATCAAAATTGAGATCTCTAAAAGAATTTACAAAATATATATACATACCAGCATATTCGTATACCCTAATTATTTCCTTATAGAATTCTTTGATGTAGTTTCTATCTTTTGCCGCTTTTATGTGATGCTTATATATCCAATAATACAAGTATTTAAAGTGGTTTTCTTTTAGGGGATTTTTGATATCACTGGATATATTATATAAATATCTCATCGCTTGAATGCATAAATTGTCTTTGTTCATTATATTGGCAGTATAGAACATGTTATTAAAATTCAGACATTTATTATACCAATTAACGTGTTCATAATTCGTTATATTTCTATTCATAATTCTTTGGTATTCCGAAAAATCAGTAAATAATGAATTAAACTAAAAAAAAATATATATACCACTATGTAAATAAATACATTACTCTATCTTTTATTTTAAAATATATATATACAAATTGAAATTTTAAAAAATTTTAACACCGTAATATGCATTATAACAACTCAGAATTACATCATCTTTACTCTCCTTGGGCAACATTATATTATTTAAGCGTTAAAAAAATATACGATGATAAAAATATATTGGCATACAAATATGCTAATACAAATTATAAAACATAATGCATGAAGTTACAATGTAATTTGATATAATTTTTATTTTCGTACAAATTTGGCATCAGTTAGAGTTCTCATGAATTACATTTTAATATAAACAATACTAGTAATAATTTGGTTAAAATAATACATTTTTTACACATATTAATATGAAAAAAGTATGCAAATATATTATTGAAAAAATGTTCTCTCTGATAAATGAAATATATTACAGAACACTAAGATTTTATATAATTATTATATAATTTGCTTAACACATATTATAAAAAAATTGATATAATGCGTATAAAGAACATTACCTTTAATATATACTTGTGTGTATGTCATTTTCTTTTTTTTTAAATGTAATATAATAAAAAATATAATTCAATAGGAAATATAGAAGATTCAGGAATAATGAACTTCCTTGATTTGTTATTTAGTTCATTCACATATATAATAAATTAGGATTATTTTATTATATATTATATTTAATAAAAAAGAATAACATATATTTGTGACAGTCTTTTAGTGTTTAAGGCCCAGGGTTTCTATTTTAAAGATTCTATTTTCCTATTAGTACATTTACAGGATTTGTTAATTTTTATAAATTATGTATTTTTTATATATATTATATTTAATTTTTCACAATATATTATATTCATATTAATATAATTAAAATAATGAAATGCTTTTATTTTTATCGGTGTATAATTTTATTATTTTATTATTATTTGATATGAATTTGATAAATATATTTTTTTTTTGTATTTAGTATTCATAACATATTGTTATATTTTTCTTGAGCTTCTTATATTTTTATAGTATATATCATTAATGTTATGGTTTCAGATAATTTTATTATACTATAATGTATATATATTTTAAATTTTTTTATACCAAAATTTATTTGAAAAATATAGGAAAAGTTTATATTAGTTTTTATTTTTTATACATTATTAATTCTTGTATATTTTTTCATATATACTTATTTCATATTTACAAAAATTGTTAAACTCTTTTTTCTATTTAATATTAAGTGGAGTTATAATTTTGTACTTTATATGTAATCAATGAAACAAGTTACATTTTTTGAGAATTAAATATAATCTTATATTTTTCAACAAATATGTATAAGGAAAAGTACATATATAATGGTATTATAATATTATTACAATTATGTTATTTTGAAATATGTTTTATATAATGCATGTACTCATTTTTATGCATTTTTTAATTATTATTTATGTTACTAAATTTTGCATTATGCTTATGCGACAGTACAAATAAATTTAAATAAGTTCTCATTCTTAAGATTGTACTATTGATATATATATCTAGAATTATCATATCATATTATAAAACTAAATAATATTTTTTCTTGATTTTCGCGCAATTATAATATTATTAGTATTTAATTTGTATACTTATTTTTAATGTTTTATTTCTAGTTATTTATTAGATAATACATATATGAATATTTTTTACAACCAACAAATAGAATACAATAATACTACTTATCTATTTTAATTTATATTAAGATTATAATCAATACATAATTACAATTGTGAAAAAATAAAATAATCATAGAATAATATTAAGATAAAATATTACATTATCCCTTCGTGTGCGTCCAAAATATTTGTTATATTTATTATTTCTTTTTTATGTTATACATTTCTTAAATTATATTTTGTTTTGTAAACAATATATTAACATTTTTAAGTATAGCATTACAAATTTGTTATTAAATTTCCGCACTTAATCAATTAACTAGCATTCCATATAAACGATGTTTAAGCACCTTATTTAAACTAAAAGCCAAAAAAAAATATAATGATATAAGGAATGGATAAATATTTTATTATATATTAGTTTCAATTGAAATTTTTATTAAAATGAATATAATATGTATAAATAATGTTCTAACAAATTTATCTGTTTTTTACAAATACCATTATTTGAACTAGTAACAAGCTAAATAAAAGATTTGTTCTAAAGTAAATAATAATTAAATATCAGAAAATTACATAATTCTAGTGTAGTTCATATTTTATGAACAAATATATAAAATTTATGATTTACGCATTTTATTATATAATTAAATATTATATACCACATTATTTTTTTTTAATATATATATATCCTTTGGTACATTTAAAATTATGTGCGGGTGCTATTATCCGAGAAATAATTAAAAAAAATGTGTCGTAAATATCTTGAATTATTATTAATATTTACCCTTAACAAACAATGATAAATGGATAATAAATATATTCTAATACAATTGTAAACAAACTTATATAAAGACTTTACACACCCTTAATTCTCCTACATAAATATATGAAATAATAAAAATGAAAAATTAAATTTCGCAATTATAATTATGTTTTATTTTTGCATTTATCTTATCCTGTATACATTAATGAATTTACCAATATATTTGATTGCTCATATTATTAATAATACAGGATATATATTTTTTAGGATATTATTTCTTAAATGTTCATTGCTCATGTGTGCTGAAAAAGATATTTAAAAAATATTTTTGTCTAATAATTCATATTGAACACAAATTCATGATTTTGTAATTTAATAAATGGTCAAATAATAGGAGTGGATAATTATAAATCAAAAAAACTATATAGAATGATATCATTCGTTTTATCTAATGTTCTAATTACTTCGCACATATCAAAGATCATAAAAATATATGATTAAGTATACTGAATATTAACACAATATTAGATAAATTAAAATAGTGAAAAACTTTATAATCCATTGTTATATTTTTATAGAACATATAATACATATTATACTAAATAACAATGTACCAAAAAATCATGAAGTCCTAAAAAATTAATATTCTATTATAAGAAATCAATACAGTATAAAAAGTGATAACTTCCCTAGCATAATTAATTATGTGCATTATAAAAGCTATTCTCATATAAACATGCATATTGTACATAGATATAAAACTATTACATTTCATATCACTTCACCAAAACTATTATAAATTAAAAGCAACATGTATTAATTTATTCAATTTTTTAGTGTTCAGCGTTTATGGTTTATAGCTTAGGGCTTAAGTATCAGGGTTTCGGGTTTGGTGTTCATAGTTTAGTTTTGTGGTTCAGGAATTGTTTTATGATTTTTAGATTTTTATTCATTGTATAGTCTCAATTATCAGTGTTTTGAGTTTTTATTTAATTATTAAGGTATTCCTGTTGTGTAAATATTGTTTAGAATACAATTTTTATGCTATGCCTTCTAAATAAAGGATTTTGTCTTTATTTTTTATTATATCTATTTTACTTCTAAATGTTTATGTTTTCTTGTTTGAGTTTTATTTATATGGTTTCTTTTTATTTATATCTTGATATTCGACATAATGATAATTATTCATTTATTTTATTTGATTTTGTTAGTTTTTTATAAATATTTTTCTAATATATATTATTATAATATATAATCACATATTGGATATTATATTATTATAATATATAATCACATACTATATATTATATTATTATAATGTTTTCTTATATATATAACGTATATACTATACTCACATAAGTTTGTATTATGGTTTCGCGTGTTTATAATTAGTATATTTTGTAACATATTTATTCATGAAATAATTTATTCGTGTACTTTTTAATTTATTGTGCTTTATATAAATTGTTCCTTGATTATATTTTTATTTTATATAATTTTTAATTTTTAATTTTTATCCCTATGTTATATACAAATTATTTATTTTGATTTCAGAATTATAATTTCAGTCGTAAGAAAAATATATGATTTATTTTTATTGTACTTATTAAAAGATTCAATATCTTTATATTCTTTAATTAAGGAATCATCACCTATATTATTTCATTATTCTCCTTAAATGCAATGAATGGTATATTATAACAAATAGATAATTCCGAAATAATTGTTTTTGCATATAAAATGCTTGTCTTTATTTTTTTTGTTTTAGAAGAGTATTTTTTTTCTATTCCTATTGTTTTCATTGTTCAAGGGAATCTCATTGACTTCTTGTGTTATCCATATAATTTCTATTTTTGTTCTTCTATATCACGTAGTAATTTATTTTGACTAACAGATGTACAATCAATAACAGGCGCATTTAATATATTATATACTTTTCTTACTAATTTATTATTTTCATTTTCA